GGCATGTGAATGATTTCATGTAAATTGTATAATTTTCAAAATCGAAAAGTTTTTTAATCTTTTTTGAATACCACTCCGTATAAGTTTGATTTGAAAATAATTCCTTCATTTACCATGTTCCTATTTCGGCCCATTTTCAGTCGTTATAGCGGTCAAACCGTGAACTGCTAATCCAATGTGCTGTGCACGCGTGAGTTAAAATCCCATCCTAGTCACCAATTGATATATCTCACTTTAACCAAAGGGAAAAAAATAATTAATTAATACAAACACGTGTTAACAATAATTTGAAATAAAAAATTTAGTACAGCCGACTTCTATATAAGTTATTAAGAATAACTCAAGAACTATTGGCTTGACCTTGATCAAATTCATATGGGACCACACGAGAACTACCAGCTTTCAAATAAATAAGAGTTATCGAAATCGGTTCTCCCAGTAAAAAGTTATGAGGTAACACACATAAAAAAATACAATCGAATTGAGTACCGTCTCCTTTTTGGAAGTCGGCAGAAAAGGATTTTATTTGCAACTGACAAATAACCATAAGCAAAACCAGAGACAACAACAACTAGTGCTGCCTTCGAGATTACAAATGTTAATTATTTATAATTAAACAAACTTATTATGCCCATTATTACTCGGTTATAATAAGGTACGCTGTGCTTATTATTAAGAATGTCCACGTATTGTGACGGTCAACTATAGAACACTGCCTCTACATTGTGCGTGGCGCGTCACGAACTTGACCAGTTTTTTATTCTTTATCTTACCATCAAAGGGTATCAAAATCACTCTATCACCAAAAAGTAAGGTAAATCAGCATGTTAAAATTTACTGACTGATTTAAAAAGTAATGTTTTAAGTAGAACATTTGCCTAACGCGTTTACCGTATTAGAAAAACTAGCATAATTTATTAGAACTAACTTGAACTACGGTGTGATCGTTCAAAAGACAAAAGACATATCGCTTCGTTGAAAAAAAAATCACCCAATCGACATATAACAAATTTGGTTTGAGTAAATTTTTGAGCTTATTGCATTTAATGCATTTTTAACGATGTTGCAATTATATTCAAGGTGCAGGTTTTTTGTACTGTAAAAAGTACCCAATTCTAATTATTTGAAGTAATATCAACGTTATAAGGTGATCGAATTTAACTATTTTTTAATTTTTAATTACATGGGTGCTGTTTAGGCAAAATATTAACCGTTTGAAAATTGAATTCATAACGCACGCTCGGAGCGTGCATAGCACCGTAGCAAGGTCACCGCCGCCCCTCCGCACGCTCGCATTCCATTCGAAGTCGTGTCGAACGGGACGCGTCGAGAGAATCATTGTGAGGTAATACCGGTCGTAACGGACGTGTGTGGAATTATAACGTCGATTTAAGTGCCTCTCATTTGTGTTGTCTTTTTTTGTTTGTTTTACGTGTCAACGAGGCTGAATTTTGAGTTTTGAGCGATTAACTAACGTCGTTACAATTAATTAACATCAAGTTGTATTGTGGTTGCATGCACAAGTGCATTCTGACAATATTAATTCGCGTCGACAAGTTGCTTTGTGCCATTTGATTTAACTCGGAGATATTTTCCTGTGTCGGTTAAAACCACTAAACTTTGTGACCCGCGAGAACCAGCGTTCGTATTAGATTATAAATTTGTGCTAAGGGACGCTAGACTTTGAGTGACGCCGCTGGAGTGATACCACATAGGGTGGCGGTGCTGGAGTCAGGGTTGCTGCTGATTAAAAAGGGCTAATTCAGGTTAAACATATATACACTTCTCACACACTACTTACATTCACTACACCTAACGCCTGAACGAGCCTTGTGGTCTGTCTTCGCTTTTTAACCAGGTAAGTCGCATTAAGTACCTAATCCATATATATTAAATATCCATAGGCATTTGAGCCCCACACTTAGTTGTCCGTCTAATCTAACAGCTGTATGGGCCCCTGTATGTTCGACCTTAGTTTGGGTAACTAGGTGCGTGTACAGGTGCAGTTCAAATAATTAATATTTTTGAGATTTGCTATTTAAAGTACGTCTGCCAGTATATTTTTTATATAATAACTCCAAATTTATAGGCTGGGGCAAAGAACACAATTACTCTTTATCAAGAGAAGAACGCCAACTAAAAAACGGAAGCACGTGTTTATGAGTGTACACTAAAAGCGCTACGGTGGATGCACATATAAAACTTTTTTAGCGGGACTTTCAAATCTTTGTATTCTGTAACTTTAAAACTTTTTATTTAAGGCATATTCGAGTAATTTTGGCTCAAACCTCACAAACCTATGGGGGCAGTTCCCATTGAGAGGTTGCACCAAAATTACTCGAATATAGGTACTTTAGATTAGTATGTGGTATAAAATAAAACTATAAATAAGTATAGTTATGTAATTTTATTTTCTGAAAGCCTTTGTTTTATAAACTATACATTATTATTGATGTTTTTTTATTGCTTTTGCACATAATATTTCCACGCTTGTTACTGACATATAACACGTTATTGTCAGAGAGTTATTCTTCACAGAACATTAATGTAAATTTAAATCAGCAAAGTTCTCATGATGAAAACAACAGCCTAAATACGTGATCTGAAACAGATAAAATTCGAGTCAATATAGTAATAATCCCTACAAATAACAGTCAATAAATGCATCCGATATAATATGAATTTGTGTATCTAATTTTTAAAGTGGCAATCTAAAACAACATAAAGGAAAGAAACAGCGATATTTTTTCTCGATTTATTTTAACAAGTCCAACATGCACATTGACAAAATCATGGTTGTGTACAGATTTTTCAGCTTTCATACAAAGTTGCCTCACCCTGGGTTGGGATATAGGGGTAGGGGGAGGGGGGGGGTGTATATATTTCTCTGCAAAGATGTTTTATAGGTCTAAAACATCTTTGTTTCTCTGTCTACGCGCGCCATAGAAGCTCATTTTATCTGGGCCACAGAATAAATAAAACGTGTACATAGTGTTTCTATCGTAGATAAGATACAAAGTCTATGGTTTCTATATAGTTTGTGATAAATAACTTGGGCTACAATAAATATACAATAAACGGGTATAAAAAATGCAATTCCGTGTAAAGCATTATGCGTCTGATGTCATTTTTCGTGTACTGTATAATTTTTTTATGCTTCAACAACTATCTTTAAACTTTAATCTTTAAAATTTAATGTTTAAAATTGTGGTTAAAACAATTTTATTTCAATATGGAAATAAAAGGTGGCGACATTAAATTGGTAAAAGCGCCATCTAGACACGTAAATAAAACGCACCACTACTTTACAATATTATAATTTCGTAACATTAAGCTACTCAATACTAGATGGCAGTGGATGACTGGTCTAGAAGTATCCAGAAATTTCTTGCATGTTGATGCTCTTTTCAGGTGTTTCAACTAAAAGGGCCGCAAAATACATTTTATTCAACAATGAAAACCTTTAGTGAATTTTGTTTGATTATTATATTATATATCGTAATATGTATTTTTAACATAGCACAAGTTCGGAGCCACAAAATTAATGTTATGATCCTAAAACAATTATCATCATCATTACAGCCTATCAAAAAAATTGATATACTCATACAATTTTTAATAATATTAAAATATAATTTTTAATTGACTGGCAAAACTGTAGTTTTATAAAGATAATACAGTTTTTTAACTTTAAATTACAAGTACCTATATTTTGTTTGAGCTGTAGTAGCTCAGGGGATAAGCTGGACTTAAAAAGTAGAAGAAATAAATAATATGTTAAACGCAATTTTACATGCTGCTACACAGTGAAAGTAAGCATCATGTCCAAAACGCTTATGGTCAACGCTTTTACGCAGATGATGGTGTTTCGCTTGGGCAGAGGCCCGGAGAGGATTCCGTTAGCATTTCTGGACGGTGAAGCTGTTGCAAGAGTGAGTCTATTCAGATACCTGGGGCATATCCTGACTGAGGATTTGCGTGATAACCACGATATAGAACGTGAAAGGAGGGCTCTGGCTGTGCGGTGGAATATACTCGCACGCCGGTTTGCGCGGTGCAGTCCCAAGGCAAGGCTGACCCTGTTTAGAGCATATTGTCAATGCTTCTATACTTGTCACCTTTGGTTGGACAGTACAAAAACTGCACTTAGCAGCATTAGAGTGCAGTATAATAATGCATTCCGCATTCTTATGAAACTGCCTAAATACTGCAGTGCGTCGAGCATGTTTGCCAACGCGGGGGTGCCCGATTACTTCGCCGTTATTAGATCTCGGGTTGCAGCTTTTTGGTCCCGCATCCGTGATTCCGAGAATGACATCCTCAGGGTGTGCTACGAGTGCCCAGAGAATCCCATACTACAATATTGGCGTGCCGTGCATCGCGACAATATCTGTAAATAGATAGAACGAACTCCCTTTTGGGGGCAATTTTAGTATTTTTAGTATTAACCTATGATTACAGTTGAATTATCTTTTATTTATCTTATTTATTGTATCATTATAATTATATTTTCATTTTGTTTTTAACATTTAACATTTATTGATATTTGAAATGGGTGTAAAAAAGCCTGAAATACATGACTATTATTGTTATGTATTATTATGTTATTATTATTATTGTTATTATTTACCTTTTTTATTTTTTATTTATCGTGCAAGTTTGTTAAAAATATGTTACTGAATTTTGTAAATAATTAATAAATTTGTGATAAGATATAATTTTCAACTTTACATCACCAAAAAATAAATAAATATTGCAATAATTAAGATTATTTCATTTTAGTATTACGGTTAAAGGGAATATTCATTAGCGACCCTTTGTTTGAGCATCTATGACGTCTGGAAAGTTCTACAAGCGTCTAGTCACTCCACGTCGAATAAATATCCGTCGCTGGAATTGATCAGCGTCAGTTTGTTTCGAGCTCTCGTGATAATCGTACGTATACGAAGCGCTTTGTGCATTTATTCCAATCTATAGTTGATCTTGTTGTATTGAAGAAAATGTCGTTGATTCCATTCTTACTCGACTACGAGCTAGAACGACCCCGTCGTTTGATGGATCAACATTTCGGCTTGGCACTTACTCCTGAAGATCTTCTAAGTGTTGCTGCTGGACCTCTAGTAAACCGGGAATACTACCGCCCATGGAGACATCTTGCGGCCGCTGCTCGTGATCTGGGCTCCAGCATCAAAGCTGATAAAGACAAGTTCCAAGTTAATTTGGACGTTCAACACTTTGCTCCTGAAGAAATCTCTGTGAAGACAGCCGACGGCTACATTGTCGTTGAAGGAAAGCATGAAGAAAAGAAAGATCAACATGGTTACATTTCTCGTCAATTCACACGCCGGTATGCATTACCCGAAGGTTGTACACCCGAAGCTGTTGAATCTAGGCTCTCTTCAGATGGCGTGCTTACTGTTACTGCTCCAAGAAAAGTACCTCCTCAAGTCCAAGGTGAGCGAAAGGTGCCAATCGCTCAAACCGGCCCAGTCCGCAAAGAGGTGAAAGATCAGGCTAACGGCGATAAGGCTGAGAACTAATTATTTTCTCCAAAGTAATTACGCTTATTAGACATTCCTTTGCTTTCTTTTTGTCTAAGACTGATATTTTTAAGTTTCTAATAAACTGTGATTTTTAATTAAAAATGTCTTTTGCTTAAAATCTTCCCCGATTACAAACTCGGATTCTGTTAATTCTGTTTGCAGCAACACTTCCGATTAGGGAAGGTACGAAAAAATTTAAAAATCTAAATATATTTTCGCTGCAGAGTACAATTCGCTTACTTACCTTACTTCCCTGATTTGACCTTTACCTTCTAACCGAAAAACTGAATGAGTTCCTAAGAAAATAATTTATAAATTCTTTTTGTCTTCTTTGTTCAATACCTAATGCAAAAAATCTATTTTTACGCCAGGCGAACTACCACCACATTTAAGGAAGCTATGTTTAATTCATAAATATTGTTATATCGTATTGTAATACAAATACTTGTGCTCCAACCTCAAATCCAATATAATTGTTACTATGCTAGTGATATATGTCAATGTTTGTTACCTATTTAAACAAATTGGACGTTGCTGTTGATGCTGAAAACTGGAATATTGTGTAAGTGTGTACCTATAATGTTGCGGGTATATAAATTATAGTATATAATTGCGTAGGCTTGTACCTACGACTTTTGAGGGTGTGCTCAGTCATCAAATGTCCAAAAATTATCTAACCTTGGGTGTCGTCTTTGATATTGCTACGTGGATAAGGTGCCACTAAGCGACTGCCTCGTGATATGTTGACTATGGAAATGAGGAAAAGCCAGAAAAAATATCTGGATTTCGAATTCTGTTCATATTGGAATAACCATCTCGCTTTTCGGTGACGGGCAGTAGTATGTCAAAGGTTGCCGATTTAAAAAAATGGGATTTAACTTTCACTGGCAGATAGCTGATGTTTTAAGGAGTAACTTAGGATAGTTTTATTTTAGAAAAATAATTAGGGTTCCGTGCAAAAAAATTAAAACCCATGAAATCGTAGTAAATTCCACGCGGGCGAAGTCACAACTTAGGAGTGGATTATACCAACTTAACGGAATTCTCGGGATATGATGTCACTAGTGGACGTATTTATTAAACGTATAGTTTCATTTGCATAGCTTTCATACTTACGATTTAATTGATATCTAAAAAGAATCCCGATTTCGTCACCGACTCACTCACTGATTCATCAAAATTTCCTGAAGTCGTCCTATAAAGCTGAAATTTGATATGTAAGCTAGTATTAATACACAAACAACAACAAAAATTGTAAAACTAGTACATATAGATAAATACAAATGGTAAAATTAAAATTTTTGTACAACCGGTTTCAATATAAATAAAATGAGAACATCATCAATGTAGTCGAAGTAAATTAAATTTAAATACACATTATTACGGATAACTCAAAAACTATGATTTTGATCAAATATATCTGTATATTTGATCTATATAGATATATGGGACCACATAAGCACCAGCTTTCAAATAAAAACAAGAATCATCAAAATCGGTTCATATAGAAAAACACGTAAAAAATTCAGTGTAATCGTATACCTTTTTTTTAAGTCTTTTGAACACAGAATACTAGTGTAAATTAGCAGCTTAATGCTGCTGTGTTTCGTATGGTGAGTGTAGAGAACCGGAGACCCTTTTTACTAGAAACGAGGCATTCCATCTTAGTCCTCACGGGTGACAACGCATCTGCAATCTGCATTTTGATTCGTAATCGAGGATAGATATAGATGTCTATGGGCCACAGCAACTACTTACAATCAGGTGGACTGTGTGCTCGTTTGTCACCCTAATACTATAAAAAGAAATACTAGACCTAAATATCCTAGAGGTCTACGTTCAGCAGTTTTGACTTTGATAGGCTATAATGATGACGATGGCCGTTTTAATCATCTTCGCTACTCGTAATATTTTACGGTAGAAGGGAAATAAAAATGTAACATCTTCGAAAATATGATTGAAATGAAAATTTATAGCAGCCCCGCGCCATTCAATTTTAAAAAGTAGCAGCCTACTTACATTCCACTTCAGGGCACAGGCACAGAATAAATAATAGAGAGGGTTTTTGGGGCAAAAAGCCTGTTCATTTACAAATACTCATTCAATAATAAATGAAAGCTATCTTAATAAGTATGACAAACTATTTTAAGTCTTATTCAAATAAAAAAAAGTAAAGTAACAACTTGCATACGTCTCTCGATTGTGCATAGGACTTCTGACAGAGTTTATTACACAGCTATTTCGATATACAAACACATGCAAGCGTTGTAACAACGGCTTCGAATCCTCTTATATATACAGATTCTAATTTTATTACGGCACGACACTGCACTCTGCACCCAAAACGATACCACGCATGTAAAAGTTCGTTAACCCAAGCACAAACAAAAAGTACTCAATAATGTTGCCCCTTATTGGTGGTTCGTATGAGTTTTGAATTTTGATTGAGAGAAAGGAGGACCTGTAAAGTGTCATTTAGGTTTAAAAAAATGTAAGTTGAAAATTCAGAACAGCATGTTTTGGCCAAATAGTTAAAGGATTATACAGGGTTATTTTTAAAAGAGTACCCAGATTTTCAGATTTTAAACTTAAATTCAAATATATAAATAATAATATACCGTTATTGCAGTTTTTGGAAATAAGAGTAAATAAGGCTTCTACTTTTATTTGAAATTATCCTAAATTGAATGTGATTTATGGGCAACAACGTTTTTTCCTACCGATCGACTTTTACGAATGTGTGCGTGCGCAGTAAAATCAGTTAAAATAAGGCATTGCCACGCACTGAATTTAAAAGATAAAAAGGACAGAATGTTCGATATTTTGTTTAACACGTTAACTGCCACGTCAGGCACCAGTGCTTGACAGATATGGTATCTGTTAGGGCCATGTCAGTCACAAGTGCCTGACGCAAACGCATGTAATTCAAATGAACCCAGGGAGCTGTCAAGCACATTTCGGGGCTTTTTCTCTATTGAAATTGACTGACAAGGCCCCCAACAAACTATGTTCATCTTGGCCTAACATTTTTACATGTAGAAGTGGTTTTTATGTACATAAACTTTTTAAGGAAAATAAAATACAACACAATGAATATCTAAATATTTTAATTGTTTTTAATGATAGAATTTTAGGCGTACAGCTTAGACAATTATAAAAATAATAATTTTAGAATAAAGAAAAAAATACAAAGCAAAAACAAAACATGTTACAACTTTTTATGTTCCTCATTGAAACAATTTAGACAAAAATGTAGCTCATTCGGGCATTGAGGGCAATATGTATTCACTTGCTTAGTCTTCTTTCTAGCATAATTTCTACCTAGTGTTTTAACATTGACTTTATAACACCTTGAACAGTACTTTCTCGATTTTTTGACTGGACCTTCCTTCTTTTTCAATTCATGCTTTTGTCTTTTATTTCTAGCTAGCGATGTTTCGGGGTTGTAGTTTTCTTTGCCGGAGTCTGTTAGATATTTACACAACTTTTTCCTATAATCTACAATCCCTATCTTAGATTTCGTAGTTTCTTTATAAATTATGTAAGAATTGAGTAAGCAGTGTTCAACAATAATTCAACAGCAAGTTTTCTGTACCATTTCACAGTTTTTCGTAATGGTGTTGAGTACGCTATCATTTGATCAGACAGGTCTACAGCTGATTTCGCGCTATTGTAATCCTTTACAATTTTTGGTTTTATTATTTCTTTGTCTCTTTTGTAAGTCCTAGTAAATCCAATAGAATGTTTCGTAGATAGTAAATAAACATCCCTCTTATCCTTCCACTTCATGCATGTAATACCATCTTCATTTTCTTTAGCTCTAAACTCTCCTTTTCTTATCTTTCCGTTTATAACGTCTTTTGGTAAGTATTTTCTATTTTTACGCAATGTGCCCACAAGATGAGTTTCATTCTCTAACAGTTTGCGTCCTAAATTAACGCTAGTATACCAATTATCGGTATATAACGTATGGCCTTTTTGGAGATATCCTTCCATAAGTGACATTACAACATTAGTTGGGGTTGTATTTTCGGTTTCGCATCTCTTGCCCGCGTATATTTGAATTTTGTTTATGTAGCCCGAGTTAGTACACAATTTAAAAACTTTAATTCCATATTTGTGCCTCTTCAATTTGATATATTGACGGAACATAATGCGTCCTCGAAATGGTACCAGAGACTCATCAATACAGAGATTTTCTTGGGGATAATAGTGCGCTTTAAAGTTGAGATTCAAAGCATCAATCAAGTCTCGTATTTTGAACAGACGATCACCACATCTTTGGTTATTGTTGTTACAAAAATGCACCATTCGTAACAAAATTTCAAACCTGTTCCGCGGCATAATTTTTCGCGGGAAAGTTTGGCAAATCATTTGATCTGTTGACCAATAATCAGCTAGCTTTGGCAATCTGACAATACCCATGAATAAAATTAAACCAAAAAATCTCTTCATCTCGTCTTGGTTTGTGTCGGTCCAACTAAGCAATCGCGATCCTGGTTTTATTTGTTTTTTTGAATTAAGGTTAGTAATTGTCTGAGCGGCATAGCGGTTAGTCTCTATAGCAATATTATGAAACATGCTGTCCGGTACTAGTAAAGCATAGAAATCCTCTGGCTTGGAATGTACCATTAAACTCCTCAAGCTATAAGGTTTCAAACCAGGGCACTCTGTAAAAGGAATAACTTTTCTTTGCTTACCCGTTGGTTCACGCCAAAAATCTTTATCAATCCTTGTGTTAACACTGCTAACCTGCTGTCCAGTATACTCATCTTCATCATCACTGTCAATTACATAACACCTCTTCCTGTTTCTATTCCTAGGCAAAATATCTTCCGTGTCGTCACATAATTCACTAGAATATGGAATATCTAACAGCGGGGAATCTCTTTGAGTAAATCGTTTTTCTAGTTCGTCAATTGCTTGGATATCAGTCAACGATAATTCAAAATCACACGTATTATCAAAAATAGACATTATTTATAATAATTATCGAC